TTTAACTCATAAAATTTTCAAAGTTGTACATATAAACGTCTTTGCATATATACGTCGGCGCGTTATTACTAAGAAAAGTATTTTCGGTTAACCATATGTACGAACGCTAATGAAGCGCTCCCAATCAAAATAGCTGTCACACCGTCTGTTCTCTGTCACGATCTCTTTAATGCATCATTTCGCTTATGTAAGGAGGTTATATATATATATATATATATATATATATATATATATATATATATATATATATATATATATATATATGTATGTAATGTAATAATTATGAAATTGTAATAATTATGAAATTATGAAAAATTGTAATAATTATGAAATTGTATGAAGATATATATGGAATCTATATTCAAATCTGAACCGATCTCGATGATATTTGAACCGATGATGAAATGTCGATCTCGATGAAATGTTTTTGAATTATATTTGTGCAGATTACGAATGTGAGGGACTTAAAACCCAAATCGGATGAATCATATATATCTTTACCGATTTTCACCAAATTAGAAGTACTTGCTTCAGGGTTGAATTCACTCGGATGTGTCGAAATCCATCCATATTGGATACATATTAAACATGTGGCGCACAATAAAATTTAAATCGGACGAAAATATATATGGGAGCATCGAAATCTGAACCGATTGCCAGATATACTTCTACACTGAACTTGACTGCGTGCACCTAAATTGATTTGATTCGACGGATATTACGCATTTGTATTGTATTGTGTTGTGCACTACTTATGAAACACTACGTATGGGAGCTATATTCAAATCTGATCCGTTAATTATAATTTCCATAGATTTTCAATTGGATGATTCTTTCTCTTTTTATGAGGTAAAATATTTTATTTGTATCAAATGACATTACCCTCTTAGTTATAAGACTGACGTTGCAGAAAAGCGAAAAAGAGACATAAATAAAATTGGTCGTTTAGTATCATGTTTTTGATCTTATATGTTGTTAAGACTTATCAACATCCAGCACGTATATTCGAATCCTTATATTGTAAATTTGTTAAATTAAGCTATTTAACTACTATAAAAAGTATAGTATAATAATAAATAAATAGGGTGCAAAAGGCACATCAAATACCATTAGCGTTGCTATATTCTCGAAAAAATTTTCTCCAATATTCATAATTAGAAAAAATAAAAAGGAGTTAGTTCGGCCGGACCGAACTTTGAATACCCTCCACCATACGAAACGAATTAGGAAATTTTCAAAAAAAATAAAAATACCGAATATCGGAAAGTGCCGATATATGATATTGTGTACTTATAAAGACAACTATCTTACAGATAGACAGACGGACGGACATCGTTAATTCGACTCAGAATTTTGTGCTAATTATGAATATATATACTTTATGGGGTCTTCAATGAATATTTAGGGATGTTACAAACGAAATGACAAAATTAATATACCCTCCTTTCCAAGGTGGAGGGTATGATAACGTGCAACCTTTGGAACATGTATTACTTCACTATTTTTTAATATTATCGTCTAATTTTAAACTTAATTCATGTATTCCAACTTAGTTCCATATTCTAGTGCTAAAATTGTACTCAGTAACGCCGACGAGTGCGAAAACGCACCACCCCCTGCACGAGCAAGGGGTACAGATAGGGGGCTGCATTTTTGTGCGCGGAATATGAGTGACATTATGGCATCCTCCACTAAGTTTCAACATTTTGTCCCACAAATAAGGGAGCCGGCGTTAAAGGGTTAAACGAAACGAAAAAATTGTTGGCAAAAATGAATTGATTGAGGCTTTGTGTTAACAATCAAACAGCTCACATGAGTGACATACGAACTAATGATGAATTGTTCATAACGGGCGTTCATATATGAAGAGTATGATCGGTTTGATTCATCCTAGTTAACTGATTTGATTAAAATGCAAAATATCTGAGCGAAATCATGATTGTAATTTTACTAAGCATTTCATAACTAAAAACAATCCCAATAAAGGAGCTGGTACAAATTACTTTTAATAAACAGACAATTTTTAAATTTATTTGGGTTTAGTTTAACAAACATTTTTAATAAAGAAACATATTATTTAAATATTTTTAATATATATTTAAATAATTTTTTTTTTATTTTACAATATTTGTCAAGATTTTTCACACGAAACTTCGGCCTTTTTATTTATTTTCACAGTTTCTTGCAACACTTTCGGTTGCACTATGACAATATTCTCCCATCTCAAATATTATAAAAGTAAATATAAACTGCATCAACTTGATTGAATGAACAACGATGCTAAGCAAATTCGACTGAAAAAAAAATAAATCGCATCAAAATTGGGTGTGGTCACTATATGGTGTATTAAAAACTGCATACCAATTTACTGCATACTCTTGTAGTTTCGAAGATATTAGTGTTGCAAATCATGACATTGAGATTTCCTCCACAAATGTGTATCTTACCTTTATAGCTTTTTAGTTCCGTCTACTTACAAAATTTATATTTACAAAAACTATGGATCGTGTAGTCGGTGTTGGACATACCCTAGAGGAGAAAATCTCAAGCCCCGGGTCGAAGGTCTGGACCCGGACCCACTTACCCGATGTAGACAATAGCTTATGAAAATATTTATCCAACAAGTGGTCACATGATGGAGTAAGTGGTCATGGTTCGGAAGTTATAGTCAAAATATCGATTTTTTGGTCCCGGATTTTTATAAAACCCCCAAAAAGTGAAAAAAGGGTCCTTTATGGGGGACAACAAAATTCATGCCAAATTATAGCTGACACTCTTACCTTTTCAAAATGCTATAATTTGTGCTAATACCTTTTTGGGGTCCAGAAATATGGGTCTTTCCATCCGCATAACACGATTCAAAGCAGTTCATTAAAATTATGTTTCCAATGAAAAAGGGTTTATTTCGCGTAGCAGTCATTGGAATTACAAAAGTTTTCTAAATTTGGTATTTTTTCTAAATAGCCGGCCTTCGGGACTTGGGATTTTCTGCTCTGGGTATGTCCTACACCGGCTAACGCGAACAAAAGGTTTCTAAATTTGACACTTTTTGTAAATAGCCATAAGCTTTACAACAATACCTATATTGTTTATATCAGGCAATCGGTCTAGTCGGGGTCTTGAACCCTGACTTTCGGATCAAAAATCTGGGAGCAAGTTGAGTTTAGGGGCTGTGCTCTGATCATTTTGAAATTTTTACCACAGGTAGGTATTTTTAAACTGATTACGGCAATATAAATTTTTTGTGGGGGAAATAACCGGTTACCCGGTTATTGGACCCGAAAGTTCAGATACAATGTTCGGTTTTTATCCGGTTCCACTGAACCGATACAAACAAAATGGGTATCATTGGAAAGCTTATGAAAATACCTATCCAACAAGTGGTCACATGAACCGGTTACAAGAACCGGTTCCAGAGTAATGCAAGAAAATTGATATTTTTTACCAGTACTTTTTGAAAAACCCATAAAAACTCAAAAATGGACCCATTATAAGGTATTAAAATCTACATACCGTATTATAGCCAACAATATTGCCTTTCCAAAATGGTATCATACATGTTGATATCTTTTGTAGTTCCGAAGATATTAGTGATAGAAGTCATTAATTTGCAATTTTTTCTCCAGTCAAATGTATCTAACCTCTATAGCATTTTTAAACAGCCGGCCTTCGGCCGGGGTTTGAGATTTTCTTCTCTGGGGTATGTCCAACACCGGCTACGCGATCGCTAGTTTTTCTTAACATCGTAATCTTTGTAGGTAGCCGGCCTTCGGCCGGGGCTTGAGATTTTCTCCTCTGGGGTATGTCCTACACCGGCTACGCGATCGCTAGTTTTTCTAAACATCGTAATCTTCGTAGGTAGCCGGCCTTCGGCCGGGGCTTGAGATTTTCTCCTCTGGGGTATGTCCAACACCGGCTACGCGATCGCTAATTTTTCTAAAAATTGTAATTTTTGTAAGTAGCCGGCCTTCGGCCGGGGCTTAAGATTTTCTCCTCTGGGGTATGTCCAACACCGGCTACGCGATCAATAGTTTCCTAAAAACTGTAGTTTTCGAAAGTAGCCGGCCTTCGGCCGGGGCTTAAGATTTTCTCCTCTGGGGTATGTCCAACACCGGCTACGCGATCCATAGTTTTTCTAAAAATTGTAATTTTTGTAAGTAGCCGGCCTTCGGCCGGGGCTTAAGATTTTCTCCTCTGGGATATGTCCAACACCGACTACGCGATCCATAATATTCTAACAACACCAAATTAAAAACAAAGCAGATTAACAAGAACGTTAAACCCGACATAAAACTTGGCTTCACTCATACTACTTTCATAAGTAACAACTTTAAAAGCCAATATCTTCGGAATTACAAAAGATATCAACACATATGACACCATTTTGGAAAGGCAATAGTGTTAGCTATAATATTGTGTATAGATTTTAAGACCCTATAATGGGTCAATTTTCGAGTTTTTATGGGTTTTTCAAAAAGTACTGGTAAAAAATATCAATTTTCTTGCATTACTCTGGAACCGGTTCTTGTAACCGGTTCATGTGACCACTTGTTGGATAGGTATTTTCATAAGCTTTCCAATGATACCCATTTTGTTTGTATCGGTTCAGTGGAACCGGATAAAAACCGAACATTGTATCTGAACTTTCGGGTCCAATAACCGGGTAACCGGTTATTTCCCCCACAAAAAATTTATATTGCCGTAATCAGTTTAAAAATACCTACCTGTAGTATAAATTTCAAGTCAATCCGAGCACAGCCCCTAAACTCAACTTATGCCAAAATCTGGGGTCCCGGGTCCGTCCTCCAAGAAAAATATAGTTTCCTGGGATCAGGATAAAAATATCTACCACTGGAAAAAATTGAAGAGTTTTTACTAAACTAGAGTTAAGCCTAATTTTCCCCATCTCCATTCCAACAAAAAGGGATTTACCGCAAGAAAACTCGCCTAATATAAATTATAACATAATTTCAAATATAATTCACATAAAGAAAACTCACCGAAATTTTATAGCAATGCCTTTGCCCATTCTAAGATCTGCAGCAACACAGTGCGCCATAGAGTAATCCTCCTCAACGGAAAACAAGTCACCATTCAATTCTTTTATACAGAAACTCATTGTAATTTGCAAATATTAACAAAGAATGTTACTTTGCAGCTTTTCAGTTCTTTTTTTGGTTTATTGAAAACAGCTATCTTTAAACTGTTTACGCGGTTGTGTCAAATATTGATTAACAGAGTTGCCAGTATTGTATACTCATGGTACAATAAAACAGGCACAAGAAGTAGAACCCATTATGAAATCTCTTAACCAAAAATTTAAACAATTCCCTTTAAAAATGTGGTTTAAATTCCAAAAATATCGAATATCGAGAGGTTTCGTTGTATGAGGTCTATAAGGTTGTATGCTTACTGACAAATAGAATGACAATGTTTTTACTCAAATGAATGAATATTTAAAACATCTTTAAATTAGATTTCTTTTTTGTATATTATTAAAATCGGAGGGATTTTGTTTAATACAAATCAAGTATACTTGGCATGTATTCTTGTGAATGGCCCAATTCACACGAGAGTAATTTTTAGTCCAAACAAAATTTTTCTTTCCAAAACTGAAACTGTCTTAAATTGAATACGTATACACAGCTTTGTGTGTGTTAGTATTTTTTTTTTTATTTATTTTGTTTTATGAGTGTCCATGTATTAGTTTTGTTCTGCTAATGCGGGTTTGAAGCTGGATGAAATTTTAGTCCAACCAAAAACGACTCTCCTCACCCAAAATGCCCACAAGCTGCTTTGTTAGACCAGAACAATTGCTCTCGTGTGAATTGGGCCAATGATACTCTTTTTTATTTATTTATTTATTAAACAAGAGCTGTTGGATTGATACCCGTAGTACCCGTGGTACAATAAATTCAAGGTAGGGCAAAACTACCATATGATTTAATTTTTTTTTTTATTTTTCTGGCTTAATATGTCAACTTCATTTGCTTATGTGTGTGTCTTCTTTTCAATAATAAAAAATTGTTCAGAAAATATTCAAATTCGGGTGTATTCAAAATGCTTATTGCAACGATTGCATCGACAAAATCTACAGTTTTTGTCGCGAAATAAAATTTCAGAAGGGCAGATTTTGGTGTTGTCGAAGATGTGCTTGATTTTGTTGTATACCAAGCCAAGACATGTTTTATTAATTGGGTAAAATTTTTTTTCATATGCGTTTCAGTGAAACATTTTGAGTTTTAACAGCTCTTTCGCAGATAGATACTGCGACCTCAGTTCCGGAGGCAGAACGATTGCTAAGGCATAAATTATGTGAACAGGCGTTGAAGGTGTTAATCCCAAGTTCTTCCTTAGAATTTGTAGTTCGGCATGTGAGCCATTGAAGAAATAGAGCATTCAAATCTCGAAAAAAGAAGCGATCATGAAAGGTTGATAGATATATTAGGGTGAATTCCACCTTTAAGTGAATTAATCATCTTCAAGGCATTTAGGGCGGTGTTTAAAGTCTTAATTACTTCATCATAACGATTTGTTATAGTTAAGCTGTTTTTTTTTTCTACAGAATTTATCAGACTTTCTTCATTGTTAATATTTGTGGTATTTCTCTGTCACATTTTGCAGTTTTTTCAGGGTTTACAGAGAGACAAAGTGATTTTAATATTCATATGAATTCATTCATCTTGTTCTAAAGAATATTCTTAGCAGCGTCAAAATCCTCTTTTGCTGATAGTATAATGAAATCGTTCGAAAACTGAGAAAGTTTAAATGAACGGGTTATTGCCACCATGTAAGCAGAGGGTATAAATATTAAACAAAGTAGGTCCCAGACAATTTCCTTGAGGAAGGCAAACTGGAATCTCTAAACTTTCATTGCCCATCATTAAAATCATTATTTAAAAAAAAAAATAGAAATCCACGTAGTAAAATCGCTGGGACAAGAGATCTTAATTTACACGACCTTCCTCTTAATGTAGTTGATTGTATGTAACAAATCATTTATGCACATAGAGTCAGATAAATTGTTCATATATGCATATGTATGTGTTTTGGGGAGGATATTATTTTGATCAAGGAATATCTGAAGCCTTTGCTTTACCATCAAGTTTACAATTTTAGCAAAAACAGATTCAACGCGATTGGTTTATAATTAGTAAATATGTCCAAATATTTGCCTATCTTCGGGATGGGAACAATCTTAATTATTCTCCATTCTGTGATGAAATTGTCACCTTTTCAAGCATCGTTCATAGATCTTAGCATGACACAATTACAGAAGGTAGAACAAAGCTACCCCCCAAATACAATTTTTCTTTTGGAGCTTTTATTCTGTCAAAACATACACACTTTTTGTGTATGTATTCCTTTGAATAAAAAATGCAGTAATTTAAAAATTTTCAAATTTTGTTGCAAAATAAATGCATACTTTTGATGTTAATGGGCAACACATTGTACAATATTGGGATAAAACGGTATTGTCCTACTATTTCAGATTCCATCTTGTGGAATAAACCTAAAATTTAATTCCCAATGTAAGCATTTTCTTAAAAAAAAAATTAAAAACAAACAAAGCCAACTGTTGCATATTTAAAAGTCTATTTGACACTATAAGACTCCAGCACAAAGTTACATTTTTGTAGTTCCTTTGAAGTTGACCAACCTTTCTTATTGGGCCATGGATCTTAGTAAGTTCTGCTTGGCCGTGTGGGACAAATGGTTGACCATTTCGTAAGTAACACCATCTGCACCAGTTGCTGATTATTTCCCATTTTTCAATTCTTCATATAAAAAACGAAAAGTACAATGTGGCTTTGAATTTATTTCTAGTATTGGGGAATTATTATGTTTTTTGAGCTGCTAGCTGAAGTCTGTGGGTTTTATCTAACATAGAGTCCTACCAATTTTTTGGATATTGATTATTTTTTAAGAGATAAGCTAATTGTTTAACTTCTTTGAAAGTTTGATTCATTTTCTGAAAACATGAAACAATATTTGCAATACTTAGTGATTTTGATAGCTAAGACCCTTTGGTTTGCTATATTGCTTATACCAATATTAATTATTGCATCCTATATATGTTGGCTTCCTCCAATTGTAAATAGTTGTACTTCCCACGAAGTGGTTAACGCCTTATTCGTAAAAGAGAGATCTAGAACAGAACCAGTGATTTCAATAGCACGTTTTTTAAAAGTGAAATTTCAATTTTTAAGTGAGTACAAATTAGATGAATCAAAAAAAGATTTGACAATATAGCCTCGATGTGAATCAAGGGTGTCTCCATAGCATGAATGTCTTGCAATAAAAACGACGTAGATCAGTACTTCAGGACGTGATTCCAGAAAGCATAGTAGTTTGTCGAGTTCGTGACTCTAATAAAATGAGGGAAATATACCGATACTATGGTTATGTTGTTTGAAATATTTGTAGTTTGGCAAATGACTATGTCCAATGGTATTTGGAAGTGTAGTTTCCTGAACTTTATATTCTTTTTAAAGAGTTTGACAACTTCATCGTATTTACCTTTCCTGTTTTTTGAAACAATATTATAATTGCATATACAAGTGTGGTTTTGCGATTCTTCTATATTAAAAATTTTAATTAATACGCAGATGTCGATGTTGATTTTATTATAAAAATAACAAGTTAAAAAGCAGTAAGTTCGGCCGGGCCGAACTTTTAATACCCTCCACCATTTGCAACGAATTTGGAAATTTTCAAAAAATAAAATCCTTAAAAAATTCTGTTAAAATTTTAAAAATACCGAATATAGCCGTTTTTTTGGGGTCTATACGACGTGGACATACATAGGCATTGTTTGTCATAAGCCATTACCATATTCAAATTCGAAACTTGAAATAAACGGTGAATAATGTAGCTAAAATCAACAAAATACCGAATATAGGGAGGTACCGTTATATGGGGGCTATACGAAGACCTGGACCCGCACAGACAATTTTCTGTCACAGACTGTAGTTCCCATAACGAACTTCAAATACCAATTTTAAAACAATTCCGGTGAATAATGTCGCTAAAATCATCAAAATACCGAATATAGGGAGGTACCGTTATATGGGAGCTATATGAAGACGTGGACCTGCACAGACAATTTTCTGTCGTAGGGTGTAGTATCCATTTTGAACTTCAAATACCAAATTTGAAACAATTCCGGTGAATAATGTCGCTAAAATCATCAAAATACCGAATATCGGGAGGTACCGTTATATGGGGGCTATACGAAGACGTGGACATGGCCCATTTACGAACTTAACCTGCTTATTGGAAAAATAAGCATGTGTGCAAAATTTTAGCCACCTATCTCAATTCATTCGAAAGATAGCGTGATTATAACAGACAGACGGACAGAATTTTACGCTGATCAAGAATATATATACTTTGTTGGGTCTGATATGAGTATTTCGAGGAGTTACAAGCGGAATGACAAAGTTAATATACTCTCCATAGTATGGTGGAGGGTATAATAAAATAAATAAAATTCAAGATAGTTCTTATTCTTGTTTAGAATTTGTATGTTGTGTTGTAAAATATTCATGACAAAAGGTGACTACATAGTTTTGATTTTTTTGTGTAAGAAATTGATTTTGGAATTTGAGTTTTCATTTGAATACATTTTTTTTTGTATTTTTTTCGGGACCTGGTAAAAGAGATTTTCTGAAGTTCTCCAATATGTCCATACCTCCCGTGCACTTTAGCGAGTTAAGTAACTGAGTCATTTGTTTTGTAAACATTGACATTGTTTTTTCCAGTTCTGATGCCATGACAAAGGATGAGTGCTCAAAAACTGGGATTGAAGACGCAAAAATGATTGGGCTTGCTACTGGATTGTTCATTTAAGTAGTAGGAACTGCTATTTTACAAAAAAATTATTTTTGTAATTCTTCTGTCTATTTCAACACTAAAGTTCCTTTCATTTAAATTAGTAGATTTGCTTATTCTTGGAAAATGAGAGTTGTAGTTGCCATCAACTAAGATGTTACAACAATTTTGGGACTCAGGGTATGTTTGTTTAACTTCCTTTCTGCTTAAATTTGACAGTGTCATAAGCGATTTGATCTCCTTTCCGGAAAAAACCTTGAACATTTTCCTTGTTCTGTAACATTGTGATCTTTCTCGTTGCACAAAATAAACGTGGGAGTGTTACGTTGTTCTTAACATCAATCATTGTCATTTTTGTTCCTTCAATTGGACATATTGTTACGAATATAACTTTAGATTTAA